GATACACTTAACTTCAACAATCGCGCTAAACAAACGCTAAAGCAACGAACGTCAATGATACTCCGACCGCAGATCAATTACTCACTCTCCCCCCCACACATTACATTCCCCTCTTTTATATACCAGCCTACCCTATCTAGCAATTACTAGACCATTCGCCAAGATACGGGATAGTTCTAGAAACAAGAGAGCGTGAGAATTGTCACGTGATCTCGATGACGCAACAATATAATAGAAAGTCAGCAGAATGGAGTAGTGTGACTTGTAAGGGACTTCTTATGAAGGAGCCTTTCGTAAAGGAAACTGTGCTGCACGACATTTATCGAGATGTTTGTTATGAATTTTTGCGCAAAGCTACACGAGGGCTATCTGCGCTAGCCGTCCCTAATTTAGCAATCTAAGACTAGAGGGAAGGCAGCTAGTCATCACCGCCAACTCTTGGGCTACTCTTTTACCAAAGAATAGTGGGATTGACCGACACTTTGTAACGCCCCCACGGCTGAAAGGGCGAGCATGTTTGATGGGACAGGGATTCGAACCCGCGACCCTCAGATTTCGAGTCGAGCGCTTTACACACCTGGCCATGCCAGGCCCTTATCGAGATATACCGTTGTTAGTAGTGGCATGATTAGACATAACGTAATTAGGCTTCAAATTTGTTTTATTATAACATGCTCAACCTCTCTTTAATTCTTCAGGTAACTTAACATTTAATTCTTAACATAATGTATTTCTGCCAGAAAGCTAATTTAAATGAAAAAAAAATCTTCACAGTGAAGCATATACTTAGAGGGAGAGCTGGTATTAAGTATATTGCTGGGGAAATCACCTGAAGGTGGTATTTCTTGCAATGTTACATCAAGGACACTGCAGTAAAAGTTAAATACATGAACATCAGTGATTGCCACATATGAAGAACAAATCATGTTAGAATTCGGAGTTACTCAGGATGGTAGTAGAAGGTTATACTTTCTGCCAGGAAGGCATGTAGTTATCATACTGAAATTATTATCGCAATAAATAACCATTATGTAGAAGAGATGATTTTGTAAAATGAGACACATAGATGGGCAGTATGTGAAATTTGAAAATATTTTAACCAAAACCTATAAATAAGGCAATTGGCAGATACTTGAAAGGGAAACGAGAGCCATCGGAGTCGAGATGCTGATGTCAGTAAAGTACGTGTTGGGTTTGTGGTTCTTGTTCAAGGTTAACCAGGTACAGATGTACCAATGTCCTCGAAGTGATGCAATAGCGGTAGACAAAAAGTTATAACGAAAGTATAATATCCTCGAGTTATTTCTTACGAAATAATGAAGCACGTGATAGAGTTCTGGAACTTTCACAACATCAAGAATTCGCCTTATAAAAGTTGGCCTGAAGCAAGTAGTATTTGTCCAGTCGTCATCCACCATTGTTCAGCCTTCGTCAACCCATCGCAACCAAATTTCATTCTCTTCATGGAACCAGAAAAGAGATACCCAACTTTCGAGTTTATTCTTGTTTTTCATGTAATAAGACCCACCCAGTAGCACAGAGGTATGTCTGCGGACTTATCACGCTAGAAACCAAGTTTCGATACCCGTGGTAGGCAGAGCACAGATAGCCCATTGTGTGGCTTTTTGCTTAGCTACAAACAAACAAATCATGTAAAGAATAGTTTGAAATGCATGAAAAAACAAACTGAAACAGATCAGTAGTTCTACCAGTCAAAATTGTTGAATCCGTTAAGAGTAGTTGATATTGTACTAAAATATATGTCACTGATGTAATAAATAAACAAAACATCTCTGCAACCAAGTTTGGATGTATTTTTATGTATGTTATAATAAATTTCCAGTATGTTGTGACCTGCCCAATCTTTGCCTGAATTTTTTATACTTCAAGCGAGTTGGTGATCTGTACGCCATCGACTGCATATTCCTGTTATCAAGTAAATACTGTTTGTGACGAGTATCTTTTTTCCTGCCGTATCTATTACAGTAATGTTTACAACCCTCGATAATACAATGTCTTAGGGATAATGCATTATCATTTTCATGGTTTACTTGATCTGATGATTCCATCACTTCTAGATTGTGTTTTTAATTGTTTATCTGCGACTTTAATAGATTCAATGTTCATCACCAACTGGAGAGCTCTGAAATGTGCACCTATGTACCATACTTCAGCCTAACCCTCATATTCTTGTCTGTTATGGCATCTATAAGCTGGTTACTTACAAACGAATCCAACATTTCACATGGAACATTTGAATGAAGTAACTGGGCAAGCCTTTCCAAATCTTTCACAAGTTTGGCTAAGTTTTCTCCTTTCCTCTGTACGCTACTTCGAAACTTTTCTTTGGATACTGCATTCTGGTGTGTCATTCCAAACGTCTTAGATAAGATAGCTGCTACCAATGCTTGATAGTTGTTATGGCTCTCAGCTGAAAAGTTGTTTATGGCGTCAAAATTGGTCCATTTAAATGGGCAACAAGATAAATAGTTTGTTTTTCACTATTCTACATTATCATTCTAGAAACTATTTTGAACTGAGCCTGATATGTCTTCCATGGTATTTTCCCATCATAACCCACTAGTTTTTCGACTGGGCAATGCTATCGAATTAGTAATCTAAATTCTGGAATTTGATTTGGTAATGACGTAGTTGGAGTTGTCCAGGAACTGACTGTAGCCACAGATAGCAGCAGTAGTAGTAACAGGTGTAAATCATGTAGGTTCTATTCTATATTTTATAGTAAATTGTGTCTTAGGTTGGAGTTTATTGGACAGGTGCAGAAAGATGTGTGACTGGTTTGACATGTACATTTACCAATACAATTTCCAATTGTTTTATTCTATCATTGGTATAGTGTTGTAATGTGTTCTATCGTTTGGTCGGGTTATTTGGTTATTACTTGATAAAAATAAAGCGGATTCTAGTCCACATAATGATAACGAATTAATTAATTTCTTCGATAACTGAATAACATTTGTAACAGGCTACGTTTACTAGTGAATCTAACTTCAAATATAATGGTAGTCAAATAACTTAACAGAACATCAGAAAACTAATGTACGTCTAACTCTCACAATAGCTTTTTTGGGTGGAAGAATTTTCCTTTGTATCCACAACTTTCACTTTACGGATAAGAGTGTTGTTCTGACTTCTTAACCAATTTGGGTTAAGATTGTGGACGAATTGCTGACCTAAACGCTCGATGCGCTAGTTTCTGTTCTTTCATAGTGAAGACTGAAGGCTCCCCTATTCGAAATATTGAGATATTTTGGTGTATATCGTTTAACAATTGCCCTAAACGAATGATCTTCCTCAGATATGGTTGTACTATATCTTCCGGGTATAATTCTATCCTGTCGGTTTTGCACCATTGAATGATCGGGAATTTACAGTGATCCAAATATATAGTTGCTAAATAAGTCGCTCTGCTACTGCAGCTCAGATATATTATGAAACAACAGCGTATTAAAATACGCGATTTGTTCTTATGAAATGTAATTAACCCTCTGTATTATTTGTTAATTATTGTGTTTTATGTTTTACCAGATGGTACACTACACCTTTGAAAATAGACAACCTTCCTTAAAAACACTACTTAGGAACACTAAATAACGAGTATGCTCGAAAGATTCAATACCATTTATAAATAAATATCGAGTTTTAGCTATATAGAAAGAAAAGAAAGCAGTTTTCTGAAAGCGGACCATACGCAGTTCCAATGTTCTTGGTTTTATCGATTGATTTATATTATCATATGATATATTTTGGGTATTTCACTACATCATTGTACTCCTTCCCTGGTGATTCAGCGGTAAATCTGGGGGTTTATGACCCTAAAAATCGTGTTTCGATACCCGAAGTGAACAGAGAATATGTAGTCCATTGTATAGCTGTGCGCATAACACTAAAACAAACCAAGCTAAATATCAAGTCATAATATACCTCCCACCAATGCTTGATCGTGTTTTTTTGTAATAAAGACCTATTATTATCAACATTTACCTGGCAGAATTACAGAAAATACAGAGGGCGATGTGTATGTTATGATAAAATGACTACTTGCTTGAATAGGTTTGTTTTAAATTTTAGGAGGCAAATATTTAGTTATTCAGCAATATTACCAGGGTGTCGATATCGGAGTTGTTTTACAAATAAAAAATGTTCAATAAAAAGGTGAGGTCTATATATAAAGTGCCTTAAATTATTTATGAATTATTAAATGGTTGGGAATTAATATTAACTATTATAAAAATAAAAAGTGCCACTAGTACTATAACACTAAAAGTAAAACTAAAAGAAAACCTCCAGTAGAGTAGGCCATACTAATGTTATTAGCATAAACCTTGATGTAACACAACATAGTCTAATGCTAACAGTTGCTGACTGTGACACGCTTAAGTTATCAGTTTTCTTGTCACAAGATATGTACTTATCTTGGAATTGGAGTCCCATAACTTTGATTTTAGCATCTGGCCTTCTCTTGTATTGTAATGTCTGCAAGTGTTACTGTTATAGCTACAAGACTTTACAATTCTACTGTTTCCTAGTGGTGGAATGATAAGCTATTTCACAGTTGACATTGTTTACAGTGCCAAACTGATATAGTTTCATAATATGTATTATAACAGTGGCATGGGTGCCCACAGAAATATTTTCAAGGGGGCAAAACATGTATGTAAGAGATCAGCTTTTACAGTGTAAATCAACAAACTAAAAGAATATGTGTTGTGTGCTTAAATGCAAACACAGATTTACAGTTTTAATAAAAGTTACTCAAAATGTTTAGTTTAACTATGATGTTAAGTTTACAATATGTGCATTTTTTTGTGAAATGTAAGGGGACAAATGCCCCCTCTTGCCCCTTCCTGCAGGCACCCATGAACAGTGGCTTTTTACCCATGGGTTTACATATACAGAGACCTTTCTGATGGTACACAAGAACATTTAAAAGATTTAAAATAAAAAATATACTTCAAAGCTGTTGAGCAGACTCTTTGAGTTACCAACATATTTCACTTGCCAGTGCTCAATGTTAGCATATTGTTGACTCAAACTTGAATTATTTTTTATGATTTACAACTATTAATATAAACCACACGTAACTTTTTTAAACAAATTATATGCCTCAGAGGTATGCAACTGACTCAAAGGTCTGACTGAGACTATATTTCCTGAAAAGTGAGTTAGCCTTTGCATTATTAGTGTGAAGAAGTAAGAAATTAATCAAAAATGCGAAATTATAAACTTCCATTATAAAACAACAGCTTTTTATTACTCAATATTTCAACACTGAACTTGTTATTTTTTTATACTATAACACAAAGTTATTTCTAAAAATAGTTTAATTTAAGGGCAACAAAGGACTTGTTGGTCAATCTAGGCCATCTTATCCACTAAACTAAACTTTAAAATAAAACACTCAAAGCCAGATTTTATCACATAAATATATTTCAAGTCTTCCCTTAATCTATCTTGAATTAACTGTCCACCACACCTGATGATCAAGCACCCTGTTAGAAACAAAGTTGCCTTAGCTGAAGATAACCCTTACCCTACCAAAATTAATATTTGTGTCCCAAGTCATACCATTCTCAGATCACCTCTAATTTGTACTTTTTCAGCAGTAACAATTTCAGAGGTCTTAAACCTTTCCATCCTAAATATTATCTTAGTAACTGTTTCCAAACCCTTTCCAACAATTTATTGTCCTTCCTAAGGTAAAACACTCAAGATTAAACACAATACTCCAAATGTAGTTTTACCAGTGACCTATTCAATGACATTTTCTCTTTAAACTTGCATTCAATATTTTTGTAGATACAGCCTAAAATCTTATTTGTACTGCGACGAGCAACAGCACACTGCTTGGATGGCTTAAAAGACTAATTAGATTTTTATTCCATAAAACTCTTAAGGTTATTTCCATCAAAATTATACTTCAAAGTTATAGTTATTTTTCATTAAAAAGCATTTTTTCAAAGAATAAGCCTTACCTAGTAGTTTAGTACAATCAGACAATTTAGAAATCTTGTTGCATATGTAATATAGCAGTCCATATCATTGAGTTAATATAATATAAAAAGTTAGATTTTACTAGAGGTCATTAATTTTGTGTGTGGTAACTCATTTTTGCCAATTCAGTGCCAAGTGTAGATGTTTCTGTGAAACTACACTTGCATATATGAGATTTTTCAAAGTTCGAGTTCTGTTCTACGGTAGTTTTACAGCCACTATCAATCTGCCTGAAGCATAGATAAAACTATACCTGTAACTTAATAAAACTTATTTTGAACAGTAAGAGTTTCCTTTCCAGCTTTACCAAATGTCAGTCAGTCTCATTGAGAGACACTTAAAATATCAAGATTTGAATCATTCTTTAATAGCTATAGCAGACAACTGTTTTACATGTGGCTTTTAATCTGCATTTATTTCAATAAAATATTGATGATTTTTTTGACAAAAGTAGTTCAGAGTAAGCCAACATAAGATCTTCATGTTAATGATACACAACAATGGCCAAGTTTGCATCACCCTAGAATTATCTTATTTTGCTTCATAAAGAAATGAAACCTGCTGAATAATGGAACATTTAAAGGCTGCATGGAAGAATCTAAAGGATAACTTGACCTTTCAGTGCCTCATTGAGTCCATGCCTGAGAGGTTTAACCTTCACACTGCTAAAATTTACTAAAGTCGATTGAACCTTTATTACTGTTAAGTGTGGAAATCGACTCTTCTCCACAGCACCCAAAAACTTTTTCTCTTTACTGTGATGGTCAACAGATCTCCTCTGGTCTGGAAAAGTCTGCCAAACATTCCTTTGTGCTGCCATCTTTGAGCAACATTGGTAAACAAACACAAACAGGACTCAGTTGATCCACCCATGCTAGTGATGGTTAATCGGTTAACTAGTTAGTTGATTTTAGTCGATCAATAAATTGACTTATCAATCAACTTTGTTGAGTTATTCATTAGAAGCAAAGGCATGCTTTGCATACTTTGTAAAAAACATCACTTGTTTATTTATCAACTTAACAGTTAACTGATTGCCCATCACTAGCTTACACCTCATCTTTGCATACATTTTTACTGTATTTTCACCATAATTTAGGTAAATTATGTACCTCACATTTTTGTACTTAACTTCAAAAGTAAAAATTGAAACTTCAACATTGTATTGTTTTGTTTTGTTTCTACATGACATCAAGTCAGATGATGCAAACAAATTATTAATTGTATATATGATTTCCCATCAATACTGACATACATATATAGGTTTTTAGGATTTTTCACAACATTAAAAGATCTAATTTAAGTTGATATAATTTTTTTTTAATTTACCCATAATGATGTATGTTACCACGTGACTGGTCATTCTCACACAATGAAGGCTGTAACCTCTAGCCATCATGCTAGTGGAGAACACTGCTGTTAATTTTTTCTGCACAATGTGCAAAGCTTCAGGAACATTCCTATGTGCAAAGTAGATATTATCTGCTAGAGAACAGCAAAGATAACTAGAACAAAAATAACTTGGTGGTTTTCTGGACCACTTATTTATGCAAAAACTGTATAGAATCAGACTACATAAGAAATTCTGAAAAGAAGGTATTAAGCACATGGTATTCCTGCATACTACAAAAATATGGTTTCTTTAAAAACAAGGACACTTTTTGCTGAAACTGTGTGGTTTGAAAACTTATCTTCTCCCAATTTTATTACATGTTCTCACTACTGTTTGTACAAATAAGTCTTTCACAGTATAAACATAATATGACAAAGGTTTAAAACTAAAATGATTAAAAATATTACCTGAAACTTTTTTTTTCAGTTAAAAGAAGTTTGAACAACATGTTTATAATACAGTAATTATGTTTAATAGATTTTCTACACAATTTGACTGTTTAGGTGATTTGATATGAAAATGCTTTTTTCTTGTATTTATAATTTCTGTTTTGTGCCAGCTGTTAATTTGTTAATATTTTATTATACAAATAGTTAAATAGTAACCGAAGAGGAAAGGGATTTCATGATGCTCTTAGCTTATAAACTTTGATGTAACTCCTTAAATCCGAGCAGACACTGTCAAAGTCTGGCAGAAAATCCTGATTTACCCATTGGACAGTGACAGCATCAATAACATTTATGTCTCTTTCGCTGAAAACTAATCCAAATTTATCCACAATATTAAGAAAATTAAAGTTTTATAAGGTATGGTGATAATTATTAGGAAATTATAAAAATAATTCTGAGAGAATGCACAAAATCTGACAGGTTTTAAAGAGCTTATATGCCTACGTTAACAGCAATAAAAGGAAATAAAATAGTGATAGTGTACCTTTAAGAGGTTTAAATGGGAATCTTGATATGGAGAAGGAATACTTGGATTAAGTGTTAAACAACTACTTTTTGCTAGTATTTGTTTCTGAAAATGTTGATAATGAATTATCTAAGAGAGTTTAATATATTTAAAGGGCTCTTCTAAGATGATATAACTATTACTGAAGAAAATCACGTGCTGGAACAGCTTGGATACATTACTGATAGTAAAGCTCCTTATCTTGAAACTTTAAAAAAAGGCTACGTAATAAGGAGTAAATTACATTTCTACTTTGGCTAGTTATAGCTCACCTACCTGGCTAATTATAGCTAACCAACCTAGCTAACTTGGCTATTTATAGCTCACCTACCTGGCTAATTATAGCTAACCAACCTGGTTAATTTGGCTTAATTATAGCTAACCAACCTGGCTAATTTGGCTTAATTATAGCTAACCAACCTGGCTAATTTGGCTAATTATAGCTCACTTACCTAGCTAATTTGGCTAATTATAGCTCACCTACCTGGCTAATTTGGCTTAATTATAGCTCACCTATCTGGTTAATTAGGCTAATTATAGTTAACCAACCTGGCTAATTTGGCTTAATTATAGCTCACCTATCTGGCTAATTATAGCTAACCAACCTGGCTAATTTGGCTTAATTATAGCTCACTTATCTGGCTAATTTGGCTAATTATAGCTCACTTACCTGGCTAATTTGGCTATTTATAGCTCACCTACCTGGCTAATTATAGCTAACCAACCTGGCTAATTTGGCTTAATTATAGCTCACTTATCTGGCTAATTTGGCTAATTATAGCTCACTTACCTGGCTAATTTGGCTATTTATAGCTCACCTACCTGGCTAATTATAGCTAACCAACCTGGCTAATTATACCTCACCTACCTGGCTAATTTGATTTTGTACATGTCCTTTCCACTAGGTTTTTAATTCTAGAGAAATTCAATCACAGCGTTACTTTAAGTCTAACCTTTTTGAGTATCTGAGTTGATTGGAAATGATTTTGAGCCAATGAAAGCAAGGAAAGTATAACATGCTTTGTGTGATCATACATTACCTTTTCAAGCAACCATTTCTGTTCAGATTGTGTTTGAAAAAAAAGCCATAAATGTAGGAAATGGAGTTTCTGGTATCTTTATTTCCAAAGTTTACTAAGGAAGTATGTCCCTCAGTTCCCTTTAGGGATTAGACCCAGATGTCACTTAGCCTGACATCTGTTGTTAGTAAAGTACTGGAATCCATTGTTAGAGATCACTCGGAAAATCACTTGAAAGGTAGAATTTGGTGAAAGATTATCAGCATGGCATTAGAAAGGATTTTTTTTGTCTCTCTAATTTGATAAAACTATTTGATATTGTTTTTACTTGACTGGATGTAGTTATTCCTGCTGATTTTGTGCGTCTAAACTTCAAGAAGGCTTTCCATAAGGTACCTCAAAAGATGGAATAAAAGTTGGCTTGAAGACTGAAAAGAAATACTGTGCAAAATGGACACCATTCTAATTGGGAATATGTAAAAAATAAGTATCTTTGTTAAGCCTCACCTAATAATACATGTCAATAGCAAACTGGTTATGTTCTTGACTTTGAAACTTGTGTAGCTAAAGTAGAAAATTGAAAAATGGTGCTGGATGAACTTCATCTAGCGCTGGAATCTTTTTCTTGTATTAAAAATATGTTGGTTCTTAGCTTTCATGCTACTGGCTGAATAAATGAGTTACAGCCTTCATTGTGTGAGAATAACCAGTCACGTGGTAGCATGCATCATTATGGGTAAATAAGACTTTTTTTTTTTTGGTGTACGGAACATTGGATTAACATAAGTTCAACCATGTGTCTGATATAAATTAGAGGTGAAAGCTGCTGACTGATTCATTGGTTCTGTTGAAGATGAATGTCCAGTGTTAATGTAAAAAATAAAGATTGTGTTTCTCTTTACATTACACCTCCATGAAAGCTACTGACTGATTCATTGGTTCTGTTGAAGATGAATGTCCAGTGTTAATGTAAAAAATAAAGAATTGTGTTTCTCTTTACATTACACCTCCATGAAAGCTGCTGACTGATTCATTGGTTCTGTTGAAGACGAATGTCCAGCATTAATGCAAAAAATAAAGATTGTGTTTCTCTTTACATTACACCTTCATGAAAGCTGCTGACTGATTCATTGGTTCTGTTGAAGATGAATGTCCAGCGTTAATGTAAAAAATAAAGATTGTGTTTCTCTTTACATTACACCTCCAGTCTCTTTATTTTCTTGGCTTAAACACAGATTCATTTTGTAATTTTCCTGTTAAATCCTCCTATTATAAAGTGAACCTATCTAATACTCTTGTGGGAATCACTTTCAAATGAAAATAAAAAAATAGTTAAATCCCTGCCATGCTTTTGCAAGGCACATAAGGCTGATACTTTCATTTTCCAGTTGCAAGTGGCACAAGCAGATGAGAAAAGTGACACATTCCTCTTGCATGGGATGCTAGTCCATTACAGGTTAACCCCCAGCTAACAACTGGTACCCATCATACAGCTGGGTAGTTTGGGATAAAGTGCCTTGCTGAAAGACACAGCAGCACAATGCAGGCCAGCCTTGAACTCACAGCTGTCCAACTAAGAGTCCAAAATGTCCTATTCATCTAAGAATACCACATTTTAATTACATTTATAAAAGGCATTGTAGATGTTTTTTCGGTATTTCAGAAGCTTTGAAATAAGAATGCTTTATAACTCTGATATTTTGAAATATTGCGAGTTTGCTAAATTAACTTCATACTGATAAACAAATTGTATAATATTTATTATGATTATTAACCAATTGTGAAAGTCCAGATATGTTTAATGACTGACAGTACTACTTATAAAAAAAATTATACATCAAAAGTAAGTAGAAAAAAAAAAAATTGCCTTTTTCTGATAACTATAAATATTTTGTACAGATGTAACATGGTAACAATTCACTGCATTAATGAGCATAAAGAGTGCTTAGGGATTTAGAATAAGACTTATCTACATTTGTTGTTTAGAATCAGATTTCTCTGCATTTGTTGTTTGATCAAGGGATGCATTCCAGTTTGAAAGTATATAAAAATATTTTTGTAATTGTTTTTATGATGGCTTACTTTGAGGTAAATAAAGGCATTGACTTTAAAATTATTTTTTATATAGCAAATTAGAATCATCTACTGGCACATTAACTACATCCCGACATTACAGTTATGAAGGTGATGGTAAAACAACAGTTACAATTTTGAACAAAGAAGAAGATGAAGGGATTTTAATTAACAGCTACAGCACCGTAGGCTTTCGACTTAATAATGGTATATTTATATTTGGGCCAGTAGCAGTATTTCCTCGATCTGTTTTACAATGGAATGTAAGTACTATGTGTCATTTTCTACGCTCAATAACTTTTGTATATTATTATAATGTATAAAGTATTATTTAGCTCTTAGCAACTGTCATCAGATTTTATGGTCAAAAGTGTCTTAATGACTAAAATGTAACAGCTTTTGTTGGAAACCTTGGTGCTTTTGATTCTGTTGACTTTTATCATCTATAGGATAATTTTCATTGTTAATGGTTTAACATCACATCTTTACTCATCAAATATAATGTTATACCACTGAATATTCTACAAAAGCATAACAACGCTGATGTTCTGTATTTCCACTCAGTGTTATACCGTTGAATGTTCTACAAAAACATTACAGATGACTGATGTTCTGTATTTCTACTCAGTGTTATACCATTAAATGTTCTACAAACACGTAACAGATGACTGATGTTCTGTATTTCTACTCAGTGTTATACCATTGAATGTTCTACAAAAACATTACAGATGACTGATGTTCTGTATTTCTACTCAGTGTTATACCATTAAATGTTCTACAAACACATAACAGATGACTGATGTTCTGTATTTCTACTCAGTGTTATAACCATTGAATGTTCTACAAACACGTAATAGACGACTGATGTTCTGTATTTCTACTCAGTGTTATAACCATTAAATGTTCTACAAACACGTAACAGATGACTGATGTTCTGTATTTCTACTCAGTGTTATACCATTGAATGTTCTACAAACACGTAACAGACGACTGATGTTCTGTATTTCTACTCAGTGTTATACCATTGAATGTTCTACAAACACGTAACAGACCACTAATGTTATATATTTCTACTCAGCCTTACTAGCCATTAAGTTTCTTTTGTAAACCCTCTGAACAGTTTTTAGATAAAAGTCAAATAAATTGGTTTATATTCTTTAATATTATATATTTAGTTTTAATGTAACTTAATTTTAAGTTTTTTTCCTTTATTTTACTTTCGTGGAAGATTAGAATAGAAGAGAATACTGAGTTTAAAGGTGAACATAATGATAACCACAGCTATTTTATTGATTAAATAATTTTTTGAGGTTTAATGTAATACGATCATATTAATTTTTTTATGGGTAGTGTTCAGGTAGATTCACCATTTTTATATTTTAATTTTTGTGTGTGTGTTATTTTTAAGTTGATTTTTTTGGGGCGGGGCTAATTCTATATGTTTGGGATTTTACTTATTACAATGTGCATGTGTAGGTAGAAATGGTGAAAGAGTAAATAGTGTAGTTTGAGCTGTGCTATGTGCAGATTGTAAGCCATCTTTAAAAATAGTGGGTTAAGCTGCAACTTAAGAAATTCTAAGTGATTTTTTGTGACTTTGTAGACTTATTTGTTGAATGCTATAAATCAAAAGTGTTGAGTTATGGAAGTAAATATATATTTGAGTTTGTCACTTTTAATGATGGAGAAAAAATGAAACTTTTTTGTCGTTGGTGTTCTATAGCATTATCCCAAAGTGAAAGTTGAAAGCCCAAAAAAATAAGCCGAAAACAAAGATGCTGAATTAATTTCAATTCTAAATAAACAATAAGCCAATAAAAATTATGTTGAATTAATTAAGTGATACAGTATGTGGAAAGGAGATGTTATTGTTTTTATTACGGCACAGTTTTTCAATCATCATGCTAAAGTTATAGGTTGTGAGCCTCGAACATTTTTTTATTCACATCAATGGAGCTTCAGACTAAAAGAGTTTGGGAACCACTGTTCTACAGGATGTGCTAATGAAATAAACTGAAAATTGTGTATGCATGCAGTGTAGCCACAGGAAAACTATGAATAAAAAGTGCTAACCAGAAAGTGCTTAATGATGTTGTTGAGAGGACAGTAGTGTTGTAGCAGGAGCTAAAAAAAAGATGTCATGTTTCTAATCTGGTGTGGGTTGACCCTGTGGTAGAGCTCTGGAATTTGATTCTTGTGCCGTAACTCTAAATGTTCCCTCTACGTTAAAATGTGGGCACATTCACATTATAAGAGTGACGATGATTCCCTTAGTGTTGATAGTGAGTAGTAGGATGCTGTAGTAGTAGTAGCTGCCTTCCCTCTGATAAGGATGATGGAAAGTAGCTTCAGTGTATTTGACAATAATACAAAAAAATATACAAGATACAAAACTAAATATTTGTTATCGTGTTTATGCTTTTTACGAGCTGAAAGAATGATTACAGTTATACTTGTTATAAGACATTAGTATTAGGCCTATTACCTTTTTAAACCTACATTTTTTATCAAGTCACTTAGGGATTTTCAAGAGTTAGAAGAGTGTACAGTAATAGTATTCCAACCACATTATATTTGTCATGTCCTTTGCCAATGACGTATTTAACTCAATTCAGTGCTCTTTAGGCCTGCTGGGATATATGGTATATAGTGTTCCAATCACTACTGTGTTTATCATATCCCAACTGGCCTGAAGAACTCCGGATTGAGTAAAACTCGACGGCATTGGATATGACAAATATAGTGTAGTTGGATACTGTTATTATACACTCTTCTAATTCTTGAAAATCTCTAAGGGACTAGATATAGAATGCAGTGTTTAAAAAGGTAGTAGGCCTAATACTAATATATTATGAAAACTAAATACTGTTTGTAATATATACCTGTCAGAGCTAATGATATTAGTAATAACAAATCTGAGGAAGCATTATAGAGAGCTACTTTGAGGACAGAAGTTGTTATGTAGCTGTTTTAAGAGTTCCTTCCTGTGTTTGGTATACACAAGAACTTTTGAGCAGTGTGAAGGGATTACACAATAGATCATGGGAGCTGTGTCTGGATCAATAGGCACACTGATTACATGGCTTTAAAGCTGTCTGTTCTTGTTGGCTTCATTTGAATAGGTTTATAAACAGTAATTATGGAAGCAGAAGATTACTTTATTAGGGAAACTATTTCAAGAAGAGATGAGATAAATTTTGCTAAGGGGAGATTGTTATGTATTTAGAAAGATGTTAAACAAATAAATCGGACAGTTCTACATAGTGATGGAGTAAAATAAAGCTTAGATTGTTATGTATTTAGAAAGACGTTAAACAAATATATTGGACAGTTCTACATAATGATGGAGTGAAATAAAGCTTAGATTGTTATGTATTTAGAAAGATGTCAAACAAATATATCGGACAGTTCTACATAATGATGGAGTAAATAAAGCTTAGATTGTTATGTATTTAGAAAGATGTTAAACAAATATATCGGACAGTTCTACATAATGATGGAGTGAAATAAAGCTTAGATTGTTATGTATTTAGAAAGATGTTAAACAAATATATCGGACAGTTCTACATAATGATGGAGTAAAATAAAGCTTAGATTGTTATGTATTTAGAAAGATGTTAAAGAAATATATCGGACAGTTCTACATAATAATGGAGTAAAATAAAG